AGTTAATTAGTCATTGTGTGTGTGTGTGCGTGTGTGTGTTCTCTGGGATTTTCTATATGCAGGATCACATCATCTGCAAATAGAGATAAATGGGTTTACTTTTTTCTTTCCAATGCGGATGCCTTTATTTCTTTATATGGTCTAATTGTTCTGACTAAAACTTCCAGTACAGTGTTAAACAGCATTGGTGAACCTCCTGGTCTTGTTTCTGATCTTAGAGGGAAAGCTATCAATCTTTTACTGCTGAATACAATGTTAGCTGTGGGTTTTCACAAGTGTACTTTATTATGTAGACGCTCACTTCTGTTTCTACTTTTTTTTAAGAATTATTTTTATTTTAACTTTACTTATTTATTTTTAATTTGACCAGAGAGGGACAGAGTGGCAGAGAGAGAGAGAGAGAGAGAAAGAGAAAAAGCAAGTCGCCTGGTCCAGGACTTAAACTGCAGTTGGCTATGTGGGAGTCCAGTGTTCTTAGCCACCACCTGCTGGCCCTCTGTTCTTACTTTTCTGAAATTTTTTTTTTTTATCATAGAAGAGTGTTGGATTTTGTCAAAAGCTTTTTCTGCATCAATTGCGATAATCAGATTTCTTTTTTCATTTGTTCTATTAATGTGTGTTGCACTGACATTGAACCACACTTGATTGACTTTTCTTAAAAAAGAAAATAAACTTAAGGGCTCAGCAGGTGGCCTAGTGGTTAAGGAACTAGATTTCCACATGGCTAACAATGGTTTGAGTCCTGGACCCAGTTGAAACTCATGCCAGGCATGTGTGGGTGCATGCTCAAAATCCCAAGAGGAGAATGGAGAAGGGACTGCAGTGTCCCTGGGGGATGATTTCTCATTTTCTGTCTCTCTGTGTCTCCAGTGAGTGTATGTACCCTATATAAAAAAGTCTCAAAAAAACAAACAAACAAAAACCTTGAAGGACAGCCCTGTAAGCTAGTGGTTAAGAGAGCTGGATCCCACATGTTTGAGTACAGTTAGAATCTGGTCCTAGTGACTTGAAAAACATACTAGGCATGCGTGCATGTGTGTCCAAAATCCTGATAAGATGGAGAAATGGAGACAAAGAGATGGCAGCATGACCACATCAATTACAGGGTGCTTTCTCCCGTTTGCTCTCTTTCTGTTTCTCTGTCTCTCTCTGGTGAGTAGACACACTCTCTGGCAACTGAAAAGAAAAAAGAAACCTAATGATCTAAAAAGAAAGACTCTGACCCTGTGTATTACTTAGAAAATTTCATTGCCAACATTTCATCAAATTCTGTTGCCCAAAGTATGTAAGAAGTACTTGGGTCATGTAATTCTGGGAACTCTTGAGAACATTTCCACTTCCCTTAGGAACACTGTGTTCATTTATAAAAAAGTCAAAAGGTTTTTTTGTTTTTGTTTTTTAGATTTTTGCTATAGGGAATATGTGCTTGCCAGAGGGAGTGTGGGGAGTGTGAAATTGACCCTCCCCAGGAGGAATGGCTATGCTGCAATCCCTTCTCTTAGGATTCTGGGCATGCACACACAAACGCCCAGCATGATTTTCATGTTGCCGGGTCCAAGACTTGAACTGTAGTCAGTTATGTGGGAATCCAGTGCTTTAACCACCATATCACCTACTGGTCCCAAGACAAAAGTCTTTCAAAAGTTAGTCGATCTGCTTGAGTTTTGTGGTCTTGATTTTGTAATGCTTCTAGAATATAACTGTGGCAAAATTGGTTCATAAATGCCAGCACATTCAGGTCCCACTATTTTTTTAAAAGAATGATTTTTATTTAATTTTATTTATTCTTTTTTTTTTTTTTTTTTTTTTTTTGCTGTAGGGCACATGCACTTGCCAGAGATAGAAAGCAAGAAATCACCCCTCAAGGAGAGATGGCCTGGCCACAAATCCCTTCTTCTCCATTCTCCTCTCAGGATTTTGGGCACACATGCACATGCGCCTTGCCAGGTCTGACTCGTGCAGCTGGCCATGTGGGGTCCATCTACCTTAACCACTACGCCACTGCCTGGCCCAAAGGTGTTTGTTTGTTTGTTTTGAGAAGTTTTTTGCCACAGGGTGTGTGCGCTCACCAGACAGAGAGAGAGACAGAGAGACAGAAAGCGAGAAATCACCCCCCGGGGGGATGGCCACGCCGCAATCCCCTCTCCTCCATTCTCCTCTAGCTGGCCATGTGGGGTCCATCTACCTTAACCACTACGCCACTGCCTGGCCCAAAGGTGTTTGTTTGTTTGTTTTGAGAAGTTTTTTGCCACAGGGTGTGTGCGCTCACCAGACAGAGAGAGAGACAGAGAGACAGAAAGCGAGAAATCACCCCCCGGGGGGATGGCCACGCCGCAATCCCCTCTCCTCCATTCTCCTCTCGGGATCTTGGGCACGCACACACACACACGCTTAGCTTGAGTTTTAAGCCGCCAGGTCCAGGACTCGAACCGTGGTCAACTATGTGGGAGTCCAGTGACATAGCCATTATGCTAACTGCTGATCCCTTGTTTTTGTTTTAAAGAGCTATTTATTCATTCATTCATTCATTCATTTGTTTTAATTTGACCAGAGAGAGACACAGAGAGAGGGAAAGTGAGAAAACAAGCCTCCAGGTCTGGGACTCAAACCCTGGTTGGCCATGTGAGAGTGTCCAGCTCCTTAACCACCATGTCACCTGCTGGTCCCCCAAAGCTGTTAGTTTTTAAGACGACTCTTAACTGTACTTTATAAATACAAGGGAATTATTGCTTCATCGTCTTTATTATCGTTATCATCATTGCCATTTTGCCAAAATCATGGCCATGGCTCTGGAGGAAGGAAGAGCATCCAGCCGATAGCACCAGCCATTCCCCCTGGAGGTGCTTTCTCACTTTCTCCCTCTCTGTCTTATACACATGTGAACACATGATTCAAATAGCAAATTAAAAAAAATTTTTATTGAGATAAAATTCACATACTGTTCAATCCACTCATGTAAAGTACATGTCATTTTTTTTAGTATGTTTACAGAGCTGGACACTCTTCACCACAGCCAGTTTTAGAACAATGTGATCATCTTACATAGAAACCTCATAACTTTCAGCCATCACCTCTGTCCATCAGCTTCCTGCAACTACTAATTTGCTTTCTGTCTCTGCGGATTTGCCTGTTCTGGACATTTCATATACACAGAATCATACCGTATGTGGTTTTCCATGGCTGGCTCTTCTCATTTAGCATGTTTTCAAGGTTCATCTACATTGTAGCATGTACTGGTGCTTCATGTCTTTTTATGGCTGAATAATATTCCATTGTATGGATATACCACAGTCTGTTCATTCATTCATCAGTTAATGAACATTGGGTTATATCCATTGTTTTCTAAAGTTTACTTACTTATTTCCTTTTGCGGGGGGAAGGACAGAGGGTCCCCAACAGGCTCCTCACACTGTGATCCAACCCCAGCCTCAGACGGCCTGACTCATGGACATGTACATGTGCCCAGAGAGTACAGAAAGACTTAAGGATGCAAGCTCAATCCTTCCATGTGGGTCTGTTGTGCTACCACCGTGCCACCATCTAACCCATGTCCAGTCTTTGGCATTAAAAAGCATGCTGAGGGGACCAGCAGGTGGCATGGTGGCTAAGACACTGGACACTCCCACATGACTGACCATGGTTCAAGTCCCAGACCTGGTGGCTTGCTTTCTCACTTACTCTCTCTCTGTCTCTCTCTGGTCAAATGAAAATGAATGAATGAATAAATAAAATTGAATAAATTATTATTTTTTTTAAAAAAAGCATGCTGATAAAACAGAGTCCTTTTTTTTTTCTTTTTTTTTTTGAGAGGTTTTTGCTATAAAGCACCTGTGCTCAAGAGACAGAAAGCGAGAAAGCACCCCACAGGGGGGATGACCACACTGCAATCCCTTCTCCTCCATTCTCCTCTTGGGATCTTGGGCACACATGCACATGTGCCCGGCGTGAGTTTTAAACCACTGGGGCTGGGACGCGAACTGCAGTCGACTACATGGGAGTCTAGCGACTTAGCCATTACGCTAACTGCTGGTCCCAAAACAGAGTCCTTTAACATGCAGGATCTAATTTATTTCTCTCTTGCATGCATGTTGATGATGTATGTTGATCATATGTTAAAATACATAGATTAGAGCAAGCCAGTGTCAAGGTGGTTAAGGTGGCTGGATCTTATGTAGTTGACAGTGCGTTTGAATCCTAGACTCCGCGGCTTGAAAACATGTGAGGTATGTGTGCGTGCATGCCCCAAATCCCCATTCCCCCTGGGGGAGTGATTTCTCACTTTCCCCCTCTCTATCTTTCTGATGAGTGCACATACTCTATAGCAAAAAAAAAAAAAAAAAAAATTTAAGAATTACTATTTATTATGATTTTTTTTTTTTAAATTTTGCACTAGGGCTCATGTGCTCACTAGATAGAGACAAAAAAAAAAAAAAGAGAGAGAGAGAGAGAGAGAGGGAAACTGAGAAAGCAGATTGCTAGGTCTGGGACTAGAACTGGGATCAGCCATATGGGAGTCCAGCACTTTAACCACCACGCCACCTGCCAGCCTTGCAAAAAAATTTTTTTTAATACAAAAATTAGAGGCAGGAAGTCGAGATCCAGAGGGATTAATAAACATGCCGAAGGCCACAGAACACATTATGGGTGGAGCTGAGAGGAAACCCCATTCCCACACTCAGGTCTGAGACTAGAACTGGGATCAGCCATATGGGAGTCCAGCACTTTAACCACCACGCCACCTGCCAGCCTTGCAAAAAAATTTTTTTTAATACAAAAATTAGAGGCAGGAAGTCGAGATCCAGAGGGATTAATAAACATGCCGAAGGCCACAGAACACATTATGGGTGGAGCTGAGAGGAAACCCCATTCCCACACTCTGTCCAGTGCTTCTCAGACACACATACACACACCCCAACTGCCCCATCACCTCTCTAGCTCCTCTAGGAGAGAAATAACTCAGTGATACATACCCTAAAATGCTTCTCCCTTTCTCTTTACAGATTTTCTGAATGGTCTTGCTTCTTTTTCTATCCTGTCTGATTTTCTCCTGCCTGACCTTTTCATGGTTAAAAGTCTGGGGAAAAATGACAGACTCCAAGCCAATCACCAAGCGAAAATCAGGAGCAAGCCTCATCCCAAGCCAGGAGTCCCTTCCAGGCTCCAACGGCACAGGGGAGCCTGTGCAGAACAATGGCGACAGCTCTCTGCCAAAGACTCCTGACCAGGCCAAACCAGCCTCCCACAAAGGTCCCAAAGATACCTGTCGGCAGAGGAACTCCCAACTGCCCTCACACCAGAAGCCCCCAAGGACCCCCCTTTCTTCCAATGATGCATCACTCACCCCAGAGCTCCAAGCCAATGGGACAGAGAGTGAAGACCCAGAGACCCCAGATACCGATGGCCTGTCCTCCCAAGCCAGGCTCCAGGGCCCACGAGCCATACCGCCCTCCAAGGAAGACAAGAAGCAGGAGCATATCAAGAGGCAGCTGATGACCAACTTCATCCTGGGTTCTTTCGACGACAACTCCTCTGACGAGGAACCTGGTGCCAGCTCCTCTCGTGAGACTTCCCGGAAGGGCAGCCGGGCCAGCCTGGGTGCCCTGTCTCCAGAGGCTGCTGTGACCACAGGCGAGCCCGAGACTCATGTCCCCACGATAAGGTAATATCTCCTTTCTCTCCGTCCCTGGGTCAGGGGGTAGGGCACAGAGTTTGGACGAGTCTGCACCTTCTCAGCCCTTCCCCCCTCAGTTGAACCATCTGTTGACACCAATACTTCAAGGGTAGCTGTATAAAAAAGCAGAAGGCATATGCCTCTCTTTTTTCCTTCCTTCTTCACCTCCTTCCAAAATCCATCACTGAGCACCCACTCCATGTATCAGGACCCCGTGCCAGGAAGTGACATTCCAGACAATCTCAGCCTCACTGGGAAAGATGCCCTTGTGTGTAATTAGTTCAAATTTAAGCCCAGTCAGCGAAGGCTGGCAAAAGCCACAAGTGATAATGGGAATTTGGAAGGAGGGACGATTCTGTCCACCTCCCAGAGATATTCACTCACTCATTCAGCAAGTAACCAACAATGGAAAAACAAGCCTACCCAGTATGGGTACCCCAAAGGTGGAAACTCAGATATTTTAACTGTCTCGATCAATTGGACTGTTGGAAATGGCTACCTGTAGGTTCACAACAGGTGGGAGTATCCCAGGGGTGCAGTTAGTAGCTTTTGTCGTTGTTGTTATCAACTGTCCCCTCCTCCAGCCCCAAAGTATTAAAAGAGTAGAAAACTTGGGAAATACGGGTAAGCTGAGAGAAAAAGAGATCCACTCACCCTGACTTTGCCAGTCAGAAGGACCTTCTTTCATTCCTGTGTTCCTTCCTTCCAGCCTGTTATTTCCTCCTGTTACTGCCAGAGGGCAGGCATGCTTGTCAGAGGCAGAGGGAGGAAAAGCACCCCCTAATGGTGGGTAGTCATGCCACAGTCATTTTCCTCCTTTTTTCCTTCCAATCAGGATTTTGGTCACACATGCCTGGCATGCTTTTCCTGCTGCCAGAGCCAAATTCGAACCACAGTCGGCCATGTGGAATCTAGCTTCCAATTCACGTGGCTTAACCACTGTACTAAAGGGCCAGCCTTACTGGCTATCTTTTTAAGCATCTCCTGTACTCTTTCTACCCAAATGAGAAAAGTCGAGATGGATTCTTCCACAGAAAATTCCATGATTTTAACCCTGATTGCTGGAAGTAGAAGGTTGAGAAAAAAGAAAAGGCGAGTCTGGCCTAAACCGACAATTCAGGGGAAGACTGGAATTTTTAGAAGGGTTCAAGGAAGGGAAGGTGCCAGAGTCTGGTCTGCAGACTTTGGAGCCAGATAAAGTTGGCTATAACCCTTGGCTCTGCCACCCCTACTCTATGACCTTGGGCCTGATCTTTCACTGTTTCACTCCTCAGTCCCTGCTCTGTAAAATGTGGGAAGGATTGAATAAGATAATGTTATAAAGTGGGCAGGGTTTGATATGTAGCAGGTGCTTAATAGGCAAGAGGTTCCACCCCAGCTCTTCTCCCTGCCTGTCCTTTGCCCTCTGGTGCCCTGTCACCCAAGACTGGATTTACTCAGTGCTTCCACACCCTCCTGCTACCTAGTTTATATAAATTCCCATTTATCCTTTGTAACAAGGGTATAGGCTGGTGGTAGAGCCTCATTTTATAGAAGAGAAAACCGAGGTTCAGAAAGGTTTGTTTTTCTGGGACCAGCAGTTAGCATAATGGCTATGTCGCTGGACTCCCATGTAGTCGACTGTGGTTCAAGTCCCGGACCCGGTGGCTTAAACTCATGCCGGGCACGTGTGCATGCGTGCCCAAGATCCTGAGAGGAGAATGGAGGAGAAGGGATTGCGGCATGGTTATCCCCCCTGCGGGGTGATTTCTCGCTTTCTCTCTCTCTGTCTCTCTTTGTCTTTCATGGCGAGCGCATGCGCCCTATAGCAAAAACCTCTCCAAAAAAAAAAGAAAAGAAAGGTTTGTTTTTCTGGGACCAGCAGTTAGCGTAATGGATATGTTGCTGGACTCCCATGTAGTTGACCGTGGTTCGAGTCCTGGACCCGGTACCTTGAACTCACACCAGGCGCGTGTGCATGCATGCCCAAGATCCCACGAGGAGAATGGAGGAGAAGGGATTGCGGTGTGGCCATCTCCTCAGGGAGTGATTTCTTGCTTTCTGTCTCTCTGACAAGTGTATGTGCTTTATGTATTATTATTATTGTTTAACTTGCGATAGGGTGTGTGTGCTCTCCAGAGAGAAGAGCGAGGGAAAGTTAGAAATGACCCCCTGGTGGGGATGGCCATGCTGTGATCCTTTCTCCATTCTCTTCTAAGGATTTTTGGGCACACACACACACACACACACACACAACACACACAAGCCCAGTGTGTCTTTTTTCCCCCCTATTTTTCTGTTAGAATTGTTTATTGACTTTATTAATTATTATTATTTAATTAGTTGTAAGGCACATGTGCTCACCAGAGAGAGAGAAACAGTGAGAAAGACAGCCACCAGGTTCAGGACTCAAACCGCAGTCAGCTGTGTGGGAATCCAGCACCTCAACCACTCTGCCACCTACTGGCATACCCATTGTGTCTTTTATGCTGCTGAATCTGGGACTTGAACTGTACAGTCAGCCATGTGGGATCCAGTAGTCTTAACCACCATATCACCTACTGGCCCAAAGGTGAAGTTTCTTTTCTAAGATAAACAGCTGGGATGTGGCAGAGCCAAGTTCAAGGCCAGGCATGTTGGACGACAAATCCATGTTCTTCCTATGTGCCAGGGTGTGCACTGTCAACAATCTCCAGCCTCCTCTCCTCTCCAGACTCCTCCTTTTTCCTCAACATTGCAATTTCAGCAGGGATCAGGGGAAATAAGTTTATAAAAACAGTTCACTGGATGGGGACCAGCAGGTGGCATGGTGGTTAAGGCACTGGACACTCCCACATGGCCGACTGCAGTTCGGGTCCTGAACCTGGTGGCTTGCTTTCCCACTTTCTTTCCCTCTCTCTCTCTGCTCAAATTAAAATAAATGAATGAATAAATAAAATTAAAAAAATAAAAAAAATAAAATTTAAAAAATAAAAAAACAGTTCACTAGAGTTGAACATCAGAGGTCATGAGAAGGGATCTCTGGTGGGGGCATGGGGCGGTATCTCAGCAGGTAGTAGGGATGGGGACACATCTATGTTGCCAGCTCTGGTAGGGAACAGACAGATAGGGCTGCTGCTCACGAAGAGCCCACATCCTAGCAAGAAGATAGGGAGCATACACATGACCCCGTGAGCAGGTAAGGTAGTTTCGGAATGTTTCCAACGCCAGGAAGGAAACAGCACAGTACAGGGGCATACCCAGAGGGACCATTTTTAATTCTCTGCTGTCACTGTCTTGAAATTCTTAACAATGTTGTTTTATGCCAGTGGGTATGCATGAGAGGGAGGGAGGGAGGACAGAGAGAGAGAGAGAAAACAGGGCTGGTCACACTGCAACCCATTTTCCTCCAATCTTGTCAGGAACCTGGTCACGTGTGAATGCACCTGGCATGTTTTTCAAGACAAAGGGTCTGGGTCTCGGTCCCTGGTTGGCCATGTGGGATCTGCCTTCTTCTGCATAGCACCTGAGCACTGTGCCACTAGATTAGCCCCATTTTTAAGAGGGAGCTCCACATTTTTATTTCCGATGAGGTTCCACCAACTCCATAGCCAGTCCAGCCTTCCCTCCCCACTCTACCTGTCAGTGTCACCTCTTCCAAGGGTCTCCCCTGTCCCCTCCCAACTCTAAAATAACCCTCATGCTCTACTCCCTGTTTCTTTATCAGTCATCTGATTTGTTGTTTTCACAGCACCTACTCCCTAAGATTATGTCTTCTTTCATTGCCAGAGAGAGCATGCACTTGCCAGAGAGATGGGGAGAGGCAGGAAGCACCTCCAGTGGATCACAGTCATGCTATAATCCTTTTTCTTCCTTTTCTCCATCCTGTATGATTTGGAACATGCACACACAGCTCTGGAATATTTCTCAAGTCACTGGGGCTGGAATTTGAATCATGGTGGCCATGAAGGATTGGCTCCCAGGTGCACAGAACTTAACTACTGCACTATGGGGTTGGCCTAAGATTAGGTCCTTTAATTCCTTGTTCGTGTACTTGGCTGTTACCTGCCTCCTACAGTGGACTACAAGTTCCATGAAAGCAGGGCCATGTTTATAGTGGTCTTGGTTTTTTCCCACTACCTAGCCCAGTGCTGATTCATGGGTATTTTCCAGGAGCTTGAATCAAGTGTGGAACACAACTTCGCCAAAGTCAGAACTATGCATTTCAGGGGCAAAACTCATGATGAATGAGTATGGGGATGAATGGATAGATTGGATAGAAAGATGGGCCGACAGACAGATAATAAATAGATGGATGGATGAATGGGTGGGTGGTGGATGGGTGGTTGGATAGATGCATGATGGATAGATAGATTGATTAGATGGACGGATGGATGGGTGGATGGATGAACAGATCAATAGGCACTTTGTTGTTGTCGCTCTTTAAGAGCAGACTTTTTGTTTCATATAATTCTTTTTGTGTATATCTTGTGATTTTTTTTTAGGCTAGTTCTGGAGTTAAACCCAGACTTTGGATTATGGTTGTGCTAGCCTCACCCTTCCTCTCCTTTTCCCCACCTGACAAGGACTGGCTAAGAAAACAGATCCTGTGACTTTGTGCTGTCTGCCCAGTTCTTTCCTTCCTTCTCTTCCCATTTGGATTCCTTTCAGTGCAGGGGTTGGGACTTGACCTTTCCTTAGACTTGGAACGGTCTCGAGGTTTGGAATTCCCATGCAACCCTTAGAAATGGACCTAAGGAGACTATTGCATGATGTGGCAAAATAGTTGCTCACCACCCTCCGGTTCCTTTTCCCATCGGATCTGAACCTGGTCTTGGTGGTCGCACGAGGAGGGAGAGGAACACTGAAGCCGGCCTCTGGTGGTGTAGCCTGGCTGCACCCTGGGGCTGGTTTCAGACACACCTTCCCTGAAGACAGGGTGGTGCAGGATAAGGCGGCTGGACCCCACAGGGCGACTCCTTTGTCTTCTAGGCCTGTGTTCCTGGGAGCCGGCTCTGCAGAGCTGGGAG